CCCCGGCGGCGGCCCCTACGGCGGCCCCGGCGGCGGCCCCGGCGGCGCCCCCTATGGCGTCCCGCAGCAAGGCCAAGGGCCGCGAAGGCCGCGAGAAGTGGCTCGGCTTCTTCCTCGAGCAGGTGTCGGGCAACCTGCTCGGCACGCCCGGGGTGGTGCGGGACCTCGTCATGGAGACGGCCATCCCCAGGATCGCCTCGGTCCTGGCCGGGGTATTTGAGCCCGAGGGTGGAAGCAGCAGCAGCAGCGGCCGCCGCCGCGGCGACCCGAAGAGGGAGATGGAGCAGGTCATCATGGACCTGTACAAGTCCGACATAAAGGACCTCGTCGCCACGCATCTCATCGAGCAGGTGGAGCAGCATTACGAGGTAAGTATCATATACGATGTCATCTGTCTGGTTAATTCGACGGTCCAAATATGTAGCTAACAGGATGTGCATCTCCCAGCTTATCAGAACATCTTTTGTCGGCTATGTGTGCTCTCTTGTTGTGGAGCATAGCATCTTGCAGCAGCTTCAGAGGTCGATCCTGACGAGTGACATCATCAACAATCTCAAGGAAGAAAAAATCGAGGAAATTGCCCAGGAGAAGCCGGGAATGGCGGAAAAGCGAAAGAGAATGGAGGAGACGAAGCGGACTCTCGAGGAGGTGCTGGAAGACCTCAAAGACTATAATGGTCAGTGACTTGGATGGTCTGCATCGTCATCTAGGAGATGGCGACTAATGTTCCCTTGATATCTCTGGGCAATTATGATCCTTGACACCAGAATGTAACGCATCAGGAACACGTTGGATGCACCCTATTTGGTACTGTGCATTTCTCATAGTTTATTTTATTTTATTTTATTCTCTTTGCGAAAATGTCTCGCCAGCTGCCACAGCTTTGACATGAGAGGGGAGACCGCTTTCATCAGGAGAGGGGATGCCTCCCAGAGTTCGTATCCAGCTATCCAAACACCGAGAACTTAGGTACCTAGTCATGATTTCGCTCGTAAACTCGTCCTCGTTCTCAAATTTTAATGCGCTGCTTCCCAGCTCGCGGCGGCAAACAGTGTGCGGAATCCGTAAAAAGGTGGCCTGGAGGTGTCGACTTTTGTAAACGGCACCTCTAATAGGCCAATGCGGTCCAGACTAACGGCATGCGATAGACTGGAAGCCCACACAAGCCCACATGCCATTGTTGGATGAAACCATAACAAAACACCAACGCCTTGCTGAAAAGGGAGGGAAAAAGAAAAAAAAAAGAAAAAAAGGGGAAAAGCCAAGGCCGTGAGTGTGTGCGAGTGCGTGCGTATATGGTGTACAAAGAACGACAAGGAGAAGGGGTTGAGGAAACAACAGGGAATCAAGTCCGCAAATCAGAAACCCACGGCCAAGGTAGGGTAGAAAGAACATCGGGTCGAATCGTGGTCAATGGCCCACATAAGCGGAAGCGCCAGGTCTGTCGGACCAAATAGAACAAATATTGCCGAGTTGCAAAAGCCGTCAAGGAGCCAACTTGATCAAGCATTGTGATTGGTGTCCCTCGCTCGCCTCGTTAGTTCCATGATGTTGACCAGTCCGCTCTTTCGAAGTCGCTCGAGGACAACTCTCATGCCCTCACGGCTCTTTCCGAGTTGGTCGATAGTCTTCGTGGACGCCATGGATTCGATGCTCCTTTGGATGCCCTTGGTGCCCAGGCCGGCGGCCCAGCCCATGCCGAACCAACTCGAGCCCGTTGATGCCTCCCTGGATTGGGACTGCTGATGCTGCTGGCTGGCCGATGTGGCCTGACCGATCTTCTCCCTCAGCTTGTCTCCGATCCGGGACCGGAAGACAACAGTGGCCTCGACACCCGTCGTGGTGTCGGCACCGGTGGGGGGCGCGGTGTATGTCTGACGCTCGACGACAGAGAGTACGCCGACGAAATTGAGGTTGCGGCTCTCGGTGCGCATCCACCCCTCGCGCACGTCGACGACGCTGGTTTCGAGCACATACGAGGCCTTGTCGCCGCCACCGCCGCCGCCCGTGACGCTGGTGGGCAGTAGCTTGAAGACTGCGCCGGGGAGGCGGGACTTCTTGAGGTGGATGCGGGTTGTGTGCAGACGGCCCGTCTCCGGGTCGAGCCGGCTCTCGATGGTGTCGGTGCTCAGCACATGGGCGGCAAAGGGGTTTAGCTGCGGCGAGCAGTAGCGGAGGAAGAAGGCGAGGGTGACGGTCGGGAAAGGGTGCGAGTAATTGTAGGTCGTCGTGTGGGTGAGAACCATGGTGACGGTTTGGGAGGTGGGCTGGCTGTGTGATTGGCGAGGAGGAGAGATACGTCGGTGGCGGTGGTGGGAGCGTCGATAGCGACTGGGGTAAGCTCTGCCGTTGATGGAGAGTAGGGAGATAGGTACGGCGCGGGGAGCCTAGCAGCAGCAGAGCGTGGGCGATGGAGAAGGTGATGATCTCATGACCAGGCCCTCGTCGATCGGGCTGTCAAAGCCAGTGTGTAGATGTTGTCGAGGATTGAAGCTGTTCGAAGGAAGGCGCGGATTTTTCCCACGACAGAAAACGAAACCCCACGCACGGCAGATGGGTCGACAGCTTTTGGGGGTCCGAACTAAAGCTTAAAGGCAGGATGAATCAGGGCCGGCTTGCAGAGCCGGGCGGTGGCTGTGAGATTGCCGTTCCGTGAGGGGAACCTGACAACCTGATCTCTGACGACCTGTGCGACCCGAAGACGACACACATCGAACGTCGCGCGGCTGCGATCAGTTCACCTCAATCTTTGCCCGCGCTGGCATTGGTGGAGCCAGGCGTGCTAGGCCCCCCGGCTGCAGGCCGCGCCGGGAAATGGTGGGGAAGCGCTGCGAAATCACCCAACCGTCAGGCCAGGATGCCCGGCCACTGCGGAGAGGAGGGGGCTTCCCTGATTGGCCGCTGCGGGAACGCCACACGCAATGCTGCACGTGCTCGCTTTCGCCCCCGCAGGTCATGTGACGCCCGCTTCAGTCATCATCTTTGTGCCTGACACCGCAGGCATCAGCATGCCGCTCTGACTCTGACACGCCAGGCAACGGCAGCGGTGGGTGAGTGGGCCGTGCCAAAACCTTCCATGTCTCCTCAAAAGCCGGCAGCTGGCTTTTTCTCCGTCCGCCTCTCTCTTTCTCCGACACCTCGCATTCCAACCACATCACGACGCCGTTTTCCGCATCTGCCTCTGAGCAGCACCACCGGCGTCATCTCCTCGACCAACTGATCAACGCGCGTTCCAACGATCGCAAACCTTGGGAGACGCGTTTGACGACCCAGCAGACACGAGCAGGACTCCAGACTCGGTCGCGCGTTACGGCGCTATCATCTTCTGCCTAATCCATCCTCGAATTGCGCTTCCCGCATCGCGCGCGCCTAGACGCGACCTTTGCTGAACCCGACAGACCCGGAGGGACTTCAGTGGCTAACCATACGTCGCAAACAAAGGTTCACGACTGCTATGGTGGTGACTAGGTGCTATTGAGGGGGAAGAGTTGATTCTATTCAGCCCTCTCCTGCTTGACTGGGCGGCAGCGCCACGCTCATCTGGGCTTTGTATTGACTCTGGTTGACCATCTCTTTTTTCCCTTTAATTCTCGTCATCACGGGGCCTGATATTGTTCTCACGGGTTCAATCAGAATTGATTTTCTACTATTTCACTGCCTGCAAGTTGACGCTAAAGAAGAAAGAAAGACGAGGGAAGGGGACAAAGACGGCGACGGCCTGATCTGTCAACCCAGACCTACAAAAGAAAATTGTGGCAGTGCAGCAGCCCACGTTGTTCGCGATCTCTTCCATCCTCCCACACCAAAATACCTCCCGATTTCACATTCCCACTCTCTTTGTATACGGCCCCTTTCCTTGGTGCGAACACAAGCTCGTCGTCGAAGCGAGCAGTCGGGATCACACCCGTGTACCTTACCTCGACCACGACCCTTGGTGGGCTGGTCATCTGGACCTCAAGCACGTAACACAGCGTCGTCAGCCGGCCTTGGACAAAGATGTCTTCCTCCGTTTTCTTCAAGTTCAAGTCCCAGAAAGAGCCTACCCGTGTAGAATTCGACGGCACTGGCATCTCGGTCTTTGAACTGAAGCGTGATATTATTCTCAAGAGCGGACTAGGCGACGGAACAGACTTTGACCTCGCCATCTACACCGAGGACGGCGTGGAGGAGTACGACGATGACACCACCATCATCCCCCGATCTACGACCGTGGTCGCCCGGCGGCTGCCCTCCATCAAGCAGGGCGCCGGGCGCGCCGCCCGATACGTGTCCGGGAAGATGCCCGTGAACGCGAAGAACAACTCCAGGAAAGAGCAGGTCGCCAAGGCGGCGGCCAAGACCACATCGACGGCCCTCGCCCAGATGAACAACGCGCTCACCGAGGAGGAGAGGCTAGCTGCCATGTTCCAGGCGCAGTCGGAGCAGTGGACTGCCCAGCAAGAAGAGCTCGCCCAGTAAGTCATGACAAGGGAGTATCCAGTTATCCACACTCGCCCGCACTCACTCGCTAATGCTCACCTTCACTCTAGTCAAACCCCCGTCTTCCATAATAACAAGGCTGGGCCTGGCAAGCGGCCAGTGAATGTCCCAGACCACGACCCGCCCAACGGATACATTTGCTACCGCTGCGGCGAGAAAGGCCACTGGATCCAGCTGTGCCCAACCAACGACAACCCCGACTTCGACAACAGGCCCCGTGTGAAGAGGACGACCGGCATCCCCAAGTCGATGCTGAAGACGGTGGACAAGGCCACAGTACTGGGCCAAAACGGTTTGGACGACGACGGCAAGCTCCCCTCGGGCGTCATGGTGAACGCCGACGGAGAGTTTGTTGTTGCACTGCAGGACAAGGAGGTGTGGAAAAAGTTCCAGGCGCGGACCAAAACGGCGGCCGCGGCCCTGAAGGTGGCCGTGCAGGGCGACAAGGAACTGCAGGACAGGGGCCTGGAGTGTCCTATGGACAAGAGACTATTTAATGAGCCAATGAAGACTCCATGCTGTGAGAAGACGTACTGCAACGATTGCATAACAAACGCCCTCATAGAGAGCGACTTCGTCTGCCCGGGCTGCCAGTCCGAGGGCGTTCTAATCGACAATCTCAAGCCCGACGACGGTACGTCGGCCAAGATCAAGGAGTACCTCGACGAGAAGGAGGGCAACGACAAGGACCAATCAAAGAGCCCAACAATCGCTGCCGGCAGCTCACCCTCGGCAAGCAACAACCAGGCCGCTGACTCGAACTCGAGTACCGAGGACCCCAGCAAGCGGTCGACATCGGGATCAAAGTCGCCCAAGTCGCCTGGGAACGATGGGTCAAAGGCGGCCGACGGCACCGTCGCCACCACCCACAACGACGGCGCAAATTCCAAGAAGCGCCCTGCGGAGGAGCTCGCTGAGAACCCGAGAGTGCCGCGAGCTCCTAAGGCGATGCAGCAGCAGCAGGAGGCGCAACAGCAACAACAGCAGCAGATGATGCAGCAGATGATGGGCGGCATGGGCCCAATGGGCATGGGCATGATGCCTTTTGCTCCCATGCCCATGATGAACGGCATGAACGCTGGCATGATGGGCATGCCCAACATGAACATGGGCAACATGGGCAACATGGGCAATATGGGCATGATGAACCCCATGATGAATCCGATGATGGGCATGGGCGGCTTCAACAACGACCCCGGCAACAACATGAACGGAGGAGGAAACATGAACGGCGGCTACCCCATGAACAATGGCTACAACAACGGCGGCGGCGGCCCCATGAACGGGGGCTACCCCATGGGCGGCAACCACAGCAACAACGGGCCTGGCTGGGGGGGTATGCACCAGGGTCAGATGAACGGCAACATGGGCGGCCACATGAGCGGCCACATGAACGGCGGCTACAACAACCACATGGCCCCGTTCAAGCAGTTCTCCAACCAACCGGCCACCGAGGACGACGCCTACTTTCGCAAGCCCGTCAATCCACACCGCCATCAGAACCGGCAGAGGAGGGTACGGCCGAGCGACTACCGCGAGCTGTGATTGAGCCGTGGGCTCGTGCCGCTCCATTTCGACTCGCCATCGTCCCTCGCCCTCTTGTGATTGGAGCCATCGCGTGGAGATTCTGTCTCGTATTGGTGGGCGGCACACGTTTTCTCGGTCACACTACAACGGTGTTCTTTGGATATCTTGGAGCGGCCCATGTTTCTTTCTTTTTCTGCTTTGCTCTTTTTTCGCTTCTTTCCATCTCTCTTTTCTCTGCTATCGCTTAAATCTTTGGCATGACATGGTGGCATGGTGACGAAACACGGCGTTGGAGGTGGTCTGCACTGTTCACGATGGGGCTTTTTTTTTTATTTGCTTGATGCTTGGGTGGGGAGGAGAGCGAGTGGGAGGGATGGTGGTAATCTGGGGGATGCGGTCACAGCTGCATAAGGGGCGAGGGGTCGGCTGCTTGGACTTGTATCATATTAGGAGGCGGACATTGGGCCCTGGGGATGGCATGGATTTCGTCATTCGCCTTTCAAGTACAAAATACACAAAAACAAACGCATTTCATCCAGCGATCTGTCAGTGCCTGTTGAACCGTGAATCTTGTGACTTTGAAACATGTGTGCTGGTGCTTGTTGTCGATGCTGATTTTTAGTACTCGGGCGTGGAATATGAATAGGCCTTGATGAAAGTAGTGGACGAGGAATCACCGAGTGTAATCAACCGACATGTAACACACGAAGCACAGAGAAGAAGGCTGCCGCTTCCCTTTATTGACGCCAAGCAGAAACTCCGAGCTTGATATCAAAAACCCAAGATCTATTCTCCGAAAAACCAGAACCAAAAAGGACCGCGCTGTGTTTTTTTTCCTTCTCTCTTATTCTTTATACAAGCCCGCCCACCTACTCGTCGGCCAGATCCGGCGGCACATAAGGGTTGACGAGCATCTCGCTGAAGCGCTCGAGCTTGTCCTTGCCGCGCACCTCCTCGACGAGCAGGGGCATCTTGACGACGTTGAACTCGTCGTACAGCTCCTCGATCTGGTCCAGGTACTTCTTCTGCATGCGCCTGCGGGCGCCGCACTGCTCGCACGCGGACCCCTTGCGCGGGAAGAGCAGCTGGTTGACGACGATGGAGTGGGTGTCGATGCCGTAGCTGGCCAGCTCCTGGATCATGCGCTCCGTCTCGTACAGCGACAGGAACTCGGGGATGCAGACGCACACGAAAGTGGTCAGGGCCTCGTCCTTGAACTGCGCGTTGACCTCGGCGATGGTCTCGCGCAGCTGCTCGAGCTTCTCCATCATCTCGGGCAGCGACTGGCCGTTGGGCAGCTGGCCCTGCCCGCCCAGGAAGCCGTTGAGCAGGGGGCCGTACTGGCTCGAGAGCTGCGACACCTTGGCCAGGGCCTTTTCGAGGACGGAGGGGAACTGTAGGAACCGCAGCGTGTGACCCGTGGGCGCCGTGTCGAAGATGATGGTCTCGTACGAGAGGGACTTGACCTGCTTGAGGACCTCGGCGAAGGACATGGCCTCGTCGATGCCGGGGATCTGTGTAGTTGAGAGTATCAGGCTAGGTCAGTTTCTAGCATGCGGAAAAAAGGGTGACGGCAAAAAAAAAAAAAAGAACTCACAGCAAAGGCCAGATCCTGCATCATGCCGCCCATGCCCGCCATACCCTGGTCGGCGCCCCCCGCGGCGGCATCCTCGCCCTGGCCGGCGAGCAGGTCCTGCATGCTGCCGTTGGGGTCGATCTCCATGGCGCTCAGGTTGTCGAACCCCTCGATCAGGCGGGCCTCCTTGCCGAACTTTTGCGAGAAGGCGTCCGACAGGTTGTGGGCCGGGTCCGTCGAGATGAGCAGGACGGAGCGGCGGACCTTGGCGAGCTGGATGGCGAGCGAGCACGACGTCGTCGTCTTGCCCACGCCGCCCTTGCCGCCCACGAAGATCCAGCGCAGCGAGCGCTGGTCCAGGATCGACTGGAGCGTCGGCTCCAGGGCGTCGGCGTCGATCAGGGCGGCCGACATTGCTGCTGGCGGTGGGTGCGTTTGCGGGCTGCGGTTTCCTGGACGGCTGGGCTGGGCTGGCGTGGGGGATGGTTTCCCTGGGTCGGTTGTTCCCACCCACTTCGCTTCTAAATCGGTGGTTGTAGCGCTTTCAGGCGATGCAGACGCACACAGTAAGCAGACGATGTATTCGGTCGCGTATGGCGTCACAAATTTGATGTATTTTTTTCTTCTTATCTCCTTCGGGCTCTCGTAGATCGCATTCCGTAGAAACGCTTGGAATTAGCTAGGGCTGCCAGGGGCGGTGGACGTCACCGATGGCGGGGTACCGAATCGCGTCTGTGGGTCCGCCAGCTGGCGCTGAGGCAAGTGCGAGGCGGCCACTCCCAACTCCCAACCTCCAAGCTCGACTTTCACCACCTCGTGTGATGTCGATGCAGTGCTATCGCTAGCTGGCCGCTGCGCCTCCCCTCGACTGCTACATCAGACCTAGTTTGGCGACGAGGCTGAAGGTGCTGGCAATCAATAAAGCGACATTCGGGTTCCGAGACAGCCAAATCCGGCCCCCAACGGCTTTTGTCTCCGGGTGATCCACACCCATCATCTTTGTGCTTCGTAAGAGTTGCTATTATTAGACCGGCGAGACACAAGAGGCTTGCGGGCAACCGTTTTTTGATGTGCCTCTGCCATGCTTCGGCTGCCACCCTCCCACCTTCCCCGGAAGTCTTCAGCCTCAGCGAACTGCGCGGGAGATGTGGGGGAGGGCCCGCCTTTTCCCGTCGCGTCGTGGTCAATCCATTTCGCTCGTCACCCTCGGGTGGCTTCGCCTGCGTCTTTTGGTCGAGGGACAGATCTTTTAGTCAAGGGACAGAAGTCTAGAAGCAGGCGCGCTTTTAGTGTCAGCTGCACACAGCCGCCTTTACTGGTTGCTGATGGCCAGCCTGAATTTCATTTGGACGAAACGCACTGTCGATCAGTCCTGGGCTGGTTAGCGGCAAGTCAGGCCTGAAAGTGACACATGGCTGGCCAGGCCGATTCAGGGCTGTGCTGCGGCTGCGGCCGGCCGAGGACCCCAACCCGCCGGGCCTTGTGTAGACTCGCCGCGTCCGACGACAGCTCTAAAATGTGAGATGTCGAGATGGATAACATGGATTAAGACTCGCCTACTTGAGTATAATAATAGATGCCATGCTCCCGTTTCCATGACAAGCGGTAGACAGAGCAAGAGCAGGGTATGGACTTGGGATGATCGTGTTCGAGTGTCTCAGCCACTGACAGCTTCCTAATATCGTCCCATTCTCGCCATCTTACTGGTCGTGCACAGGCTTGGCTGAGACGACCAACTCATACCTCGCTTGCCCCATCTGTAGCCTCATTTTGACACATCCTACTTACCGGGCATTCAAAAGATCTTTTTAGTGCGCAACCAACGATATCTGCACTTCAGTCAGCCGGAGCCTCTTGCACAATCGTCTCCGGTTCCCCACCAAACCAACACACCCCGCATCCACACCAACCGACATCAAGTCGCCTCCCTCTCTATATCCATCTCGCTGCAACCACCACCCACGACAACTAAAAAATGGCCACTGCCACCACCACCACCACCACCGCCCCGGCCAAGGACCGCATAACCTGCCACATCCTGGACACCACGGCCGGCAAGCCCGCCCGCGGCGTGCGCGTGCGCCTCGAGCTTACTCCCCCCTCGGCCGCCAACTTCGCGTCCACGGCCCCGTCCTCGGGCGCGGCCTCTTCGCCATCCCCCGCCGGCGCCGTCGCCCACCACGGCCAGCACGGCGGGGCGGGCGCCACGGCGCGCACCTTTGAGTCGCAGACGGACGACGACGGGCGCGTCAAGGCCTGGCTGCCCTTCAGCGCCTCCAACGACTCGGGCGAGGTGCCCATCTACACCCTCGACGACGTCCTGGGCGAGGTCGAGGCCACCGGGGCCGGCGGCGGCGGCAGCCGCTGGACCCTGCGCTTCGACTCGGCGGGCTACTTTGGCGACGCCGCCACCTTCTTCCCCGAGGTGGCTGTCGTGTTCGAGGTCCAGCGCGGCCAGCACTACCACGTGCCGCTGCTGCTGAGCCCGTACGGCTACACCACGTACCGGGGCAGCTGATTTTGAGGGGAGGGGTGCCGGGCTGGTATTAAAGAATATGGCAAGCTGAAACGTCCAGCGGAATTCACATTTTATTGGTGCCTGCTGCGGGCTCATCAAGGTAGATTACAATATAAGTTGTCAAGAGGGTCCAATACAAATTATCTAGGTTGTGGAAATTATGGTTTACTTTCCACCAGGGTGTGCCGGATGCATCTGTTCATCCCGCCAGAAGGGGATGCGCTGTGCATCCGGTGATCAATGAAGAAAGAAGAAGGGGTGATGCAGTGCGCTTGCGGGGAGCGGGTGGAAGAGCGCCTATTTACATCAGGCCTCCTGATCCGCGCCCGGGACCGGTCTTCCTGTGCATTCATCATCATGAAAGAGGTCATCACGATTCCCGATGCTCTCTGCGATATCGCTCAGCGCGCATTTCATACCCTCGGCCGTCCCCGAGGGCCCAAGCTTGTATTCCACACCAAGATCGTGAAGCCTCGGGCCCTTTCGCTCCCCGTTACGGTCATAGGCGCGACGGGGCTCGGAAAGGATCCGGAACGTGCCGCCATGCTCGTCCGAGATGGTGACCCAGCGTGCGTCACTGTACTCGTGGCTGTAAGGGCTATCCAGGCCGGGGCCCAGCCTGGCGGTCAGACTTGGGAGGAGCGCGCAGAGGAACATGCGACCGTGTCTAAGGGGGTGTACCCGGCAGTTCATCAGCTTGAACCTCTGGAGGTTGGGGAATGTGGCGTGGATTCTGGACAGGAACGGTTTCCACGGTCTAAAATCACCGACCCGGGTGGCGTTGATGTTGACAAATTCCAGCGACTCTAGCTTGTCACCGCCGGAGTAGGAGGCCATCCAGTCATTAAGCACCCTCATCGGCACGTAGCTGGAGTGGAATGTATATCCTCCTAGGGTCAGGTGGCGGATTGTCCGCCCCTGCTCAGACAATAGCGGGATGCAGTAGTCCATGCTCCTATCGCCTCCGATCTGGACGGTCTGGAGGTTCGGGGCAGAGGAAAGCAGGCTGTGGATAAATGTCTGGATGGCGCCGATGCCGCGGTGGTCGACTACCCACGCGGGGCGGCTGCTGCTTGTCACCTCTTTTTCGCCGGCCTGTGGGCCTGCGGTGCTAATAATCCTACGAACCTCAAAGCGGAGCGTCTCCAGCGCGTTCCAATCGGCGCGACCCAGCACCGAGGGGTTGATGCGGTACTCCTCGAGACCGTAGCTGGCCAAAGTGACTGTCAGAGACGTTACCGGCAACGTGCCCGCGAGCGCCACCGCGAGAGCGAGGCAGTCGGTCCCGCTCATGCGGCGCCTGGCGAGGATCGGCCGGTCGGGCCCGGCCCCATTGGCGTCGTCGACGACGAGGGACCGGCAGCCGGGGAAGCCGTCGCGGATGCCCGCCAGCACCGCCTGCGCCATGGGGCTCTCGAATATGATGGCGCCGTCGCCATTGCGCCGCCAGTATTGCAGCTGGTTGTGGCGTCGCGACCGATATGGAACGCCGTCGTGCCAGGTCGTGATGTGCAGGTGTCGCGACCGATATGGGACGTAGTCGTGCCAGGTCGTGATGTGCAGCACGCGGACCCGGTGGCGGGGCCCCTCGAAGCGCGTGGCCGCGAGCAGCCTGGGCAGGCTGTCCCAGTAGAGGTCGGTTGTAATGGTTCCGAAGAAGTGATCACCAAACGGCATCGATGCTCCGGCTGACACCTGAGAAGAGGTCTGTCGAAGGGCGATGAGATCGGGTCCCTCAAGATAGGTGCTGATCTCGTGGAGAAGCTCGACAGGGAGCCTCTCCAGCCAGGGTCGGCTTGCGTCCATCCTAACGGTGGACGCGGTGGGAGTTCAGTGAGAGGGATGATGTTGGCAGGTGGTTGCTCTGTCGCTGGCGGTTTTGGTGAGTGGGTGGTGGGTGATGATGTGGCAGGGAATTTCGAGGTTGGGCAGAAGACTTTGACCTGAATTTATATATGTTTGCTTGTCGTTGTCACGGAGTTTGCATCTTTCGCTGCAAAGGTTGTGCTACACCAGATTATGGCTTTGTTGTCCGGAAATAAAGGGAAATTGAGTCAACTATGAGCCTCTTGTGAAGTGGGTTGAGGGACGACACCGTAGGCCCGGGTGGCCTTTGTTGTCCTCGCTTTAACGTACGCCCATTCCATGCCACGGACGTAAATTAAAAATTAAAAATAAAACAGGTAAGACGTGACCTGCATCCAAATGATTTTTTACTCTAAAGTGCAAAAGATCTGTTAGAAAACCAAGCCCGGCTAGTACTACCACATGCCACTACTGCTAAGCCCGTACGGCTATACCACGTGGGTAAGTACCTGGGCGGCTGATTTGAAGGGAGGGGCGCCGGACAGGTCAAGAGGTTAAGCTGAACACCTCCAACGGAAATTCATCACATTTTATTGGTGCCGGTTGCAGGCTCAGAAGGTTAGGTAGGCGAGCGGTATTACAGATATTGCTGTCAAGAGTTTGTTTTATATACATTAGCTAAATTCTGGAGGTTAGCAGTTACTTTCCACCAGTGTCTGCCGAGTACATCTTTATCACCGAAGAAGGGGATGTGTAGGGAAAGCGTTGTTGTTGTTGTGGTATTTACCTATCTGGAGGGCGCTCGCGCCTGGAGAGGTAGGTAGGTCTGGTGCACGGGCTAACCTCAGACAGTATGTATTATGCGTCCCGTCGTGTTATGGGAGAAGGGGTAATTCAATCTAGGGGGCCAGGTAAGGGAGGGAGCGCCTACCTTGATCAGGCCTCGCCCGAGGTTGGAGCCTGCCTTCCTGGACATTGCACGGCGTTTCCCGGCGAATAAAGCATCATGCCCTGTGCGATGTCATCCAGGGCGCGTCTCATGCCCTCAGCCGTTCCTGAGGGCCCGAGCTTGTATTCTACACCGGTGTCGTGGAACGCGGATGTTATGGAGCCACTATGCTCCAGAAGGTCCCGGTTGAGGGAGGGCGCGGATACAAGGCGGAAGGCGCCGCCGTATTCGTCCGAAATAGCGGCGCAGCACCGCACGTGGTATAAGCCACCGCCGCCGTCGTCCGGGCAGCCGGGCGCGGCCGGGCCCAACCTGTCGGTTAGGCTCTGGAGGAGCGGGCATACGAAAGCGAGCTTGAGCCCGGCGGTTGCTCCGCATTCCATTATTTTGAACCTTTTTAGGTTCGGGAACGCGGCGTGAACTCGGGAGATAACCTCCGGCCACGGGTTGGCGCCGTCCGCGGTATTGTTGCTGTCGAGGAAGATGCGTTCGAACTCGAGTGACTCCAGCTTTTCGCCACCGCCGCCGGCGTCACCGAGGTTGGAATCTATCCAGCTGCAAAGCGCCGCCGGCGTTACCGAAGTGAGCCGGCCTGGCCGGCCCGTTATGGTCATATGGCGGATTGCGCGTTTTTGCTCGGATAATAGCAAAAGGCAGTACGTGATAACCGACCTCGTGCCCCCGATCGTGACCGTTTGGAGGTTGGGCGCCGAGGAAAGCAGGCCGTGTATGAAAGGCTGGAGGACAGCGGCGCCGCCGCTCGGGCCCGCAGGGGGGTGGGGCCCGGCGGCCATGTCCGAAACGTCGAAGCGGAGCGTTTCGAGCGCGGACCAGTCTGCGCGGCGCAGGGCCTCGGGGTCGAGCAGGTCCTCCCGGATGCCCCCGCTCCCGTAAAGGGAAACGTCCAGGGCCTCGACCGGCGCCGGGTTCGCAGGGTCCCCGGCCAGCGCCGCCACGAGCGCGAGGGCGTCGGTGGGGTACAGGTGCGGCCCATCGTCGCCGTCGCTCGAGGGCAGCAGGTCCGGGTCGAGCCAGCCGCTGTCGGAAACGGCAAAGGAGCGGCAGGCGGGGAGGCCGTCGCGCATGCACGCCAGGACCGCCCGCCCCGTCGGGGTGGCGAGGTTAAGCCGGCCGGTGGCGGCGTCGCGCGCCCAATCGTGCGGCCGGTCGTTTAAATACATGCGGCGTGAAGGGGGACAGGCCCAAGGCGCGATACGGAGCGCACGGGCCCGCCGGCGGTAACCTTCGGACCGCGCGGCCCCGAACAGCCGGGATAAGCTGCGGCGCGTAAGGTCCGTAGTTAGGCAGCCGAAGAAGTGGTCGTTTAGAACGCCCGACGATGCCGTCGAAAGCTGAGAGGAGGCGTGCCGAAAGGCGACGAGGTTCGATCCCTCCAGGTAGCTCGCAATTTCGACCATCAATTCGGCGGGAAGTGCCTCGAGCCATAAGTAGTCTGCAGTATCCATTGCGACGGGGTAGGTGGCGTATTTGCTGCTGGTCGTTGGATGCTGCAGTGCGTAGGCCGTCGGTGGTTTGGGAAAGACTTTCGACGTTAAAGTGAAGTACTTTTGACGTAAATTTATCTATACTACTAGGCACTTTTGTAACTATTATGGATGCTACGACGTTTGATAATGGCTTTGTTGTGTCCAGTCCTACAAAGGAAGGGCGAGTTGGCTCTGGGCTCTTTGTAAAATGCCTTTCAGGGGCTGAAGGGGGCACCCCCAGTATGGCTCCCGTTTTGTTGTAACAACGCTGAGCCATGCTAGCTCCATTCCAAGGGCGGGCATTCACGGTCTAGGATAGAACATGTAAGTGGCGGCGCTGCATCCAGGGGCAGTCCGTAGGCACCGCCAAGACAGCAGTGATCCTCCAGAACTTCTTCCAAGATATTTATAGCGGTAGAGCACGCGCCAACACGGGAGAGAGTAGGAAAAGCGTCCTTCTCAGGTCTCTTTTTAGTCAACTCCTGCAGACCCTTGGATTTCCTGCGTAATACGAGGGCCGGATCATGGAGTGGGCCGGTGCGAAGCGAGACTACATCGAATACGAGCTGAGAGACCGGAGACTTAAAGAGCTCATCACGGAGCTTGTCATTCACTATGGAGCATCCCCAAAGGCTGGTGAAAGGAGGCGATTCGGCATCTTCATCGGCGGACTGAACAATTGCATAGGGCAGGCGAGTCCGTGTCGCCTGCCAACGGTACCGGAGCTTCGGAGTCCCTTGCGGTCATGCGATTTGTCCAGGACCTATTGGCGAGTGCTCTAGACAGCGGAGTCGATATCGCCATATGCGTCTGCATGCGGCACTTTCCTGAATGTTGCGAAAAGGGATACAAGACACAGACAATCGATGTCGACGCGATAGCATCCCGGATCGCGTGGCCCTATCTTGCACGGGAGCTGCAGAACGTTCGCCATGCGCAGGACCATGAGTTCCTCTTTCGCTATCTCTTACCCGATCCTTATGCCGACGGCACCGGCTACTGCGCAAATGGCATCGGATGGGCCAGAACTCTTCTGGAAAGATACAAGGAGGACGGCGGCTAGCTGATCATGGACAAGCTCGTCGAATGGGTGGACGAAATCTCTTGGCCCGCCGAAGAGAAGAGATACGAGGTGGCCTTGCGGGAGATGGAGAGATCAGGACATGGGGACGCCGTAGAGGTGTTGCAAATAGTCCTCGCATCCATTAGGGACATGAAAACAGACGAGTTGAGGTACGCGTTTGCGTTCAGGCCCGAAGTCAAGGGCTTCGACAAGATCGAGAAGCGGGGGGAGTCGACGGTGATGCACCAGGACAGCGCCGAGTTCAAGAGCCAGATGGCCCAGCAATCATTCGGACTCGTCCGCTTCGTCACGCGCTGCCCCCACCCAGGCTGAGCCGCTCGATGCCGATGCATGTGCGGCATTCCCTGTTGACCAACGGGCACGCGCAGCGCCAGCCCGAGGCCGGCGTGCGGCATGTCGACGTCATCCACACTTCGGTAAAGCGGTTTCTCGGTGGCGGCACGGGTTTGCCATCCCTCTTGGCCCTCCCCTCTAGGTCCGAGGTGGACTGCCACCTGCTGCTGTTCGTCTGCTGCATCCGCGCGCTCGTGTTTTGCGACCTCAGGGACGACGTCGGGGCTAGCAGGGTCAAGTTCCTGCTCTACGCGGGCGAGCACTGGCCCCGGCACGCCCAGGCCGCCGACAAGGTTCTCGACACGTCTGGGAAAGGCGTCCTTGAACTCCTGCCCAGGTGCACCTCCCAGAAAGGCAAGCAGATGCTAAATCTCCTGTTCGAGCGCCTGAGGGAGTCGGGGGACGCCCTCTCCAGGCTGCCCGGCGACGGAGGCGACAGCATGCTGGTCATGCCGGTCGTGCTGGCCGCCTTTGGGTGCACCAGGCTGCTCCGGAAGCACATCTCGGGCCCTTTCTGCTGCAGGGACTGCGCCGCGGCGGCTCGCGCGAGGCTGGACGGGGAAAAGCCAGGACCGCGTAAAGATGGCGCTGAAGCACGCGCTGCGGGGCTGCTGGTTCGACACGGCTCGGTACCTGATCGAGCTTGACTGCGCCCGCGGCGGCAGCGTCTGCGACCTGTTCTTCGGCTGCACGCTGATCTACCGAGTGTGCAGCTGCCCAAGGCCGCCCCCGGAAGAGCTCCTCAAGTTCCTCCTGGAAAAGGGGGCAGACACCACGGTGCCATCCGGCACCCACGAGGAATATCCGCTCACTACGCCATCACCAACAATCGTGTGGAGCTCGCTAGATGCTCGTCAAGCACACTAGACTAAAAGCCACGAGCGGCTTCGTGTGCAGAGAGGAACGGGAACCGGGAAGCGGAAAACGGTAGGGGATAACTAGGCTGCAGTAAGATTACCATGTTCTCTATATGTGGTTTGTAGCCATACAAGACTGTAAGCTTTTCAACTCTTCGGTTTGATCGACAAAGGCTCTACGCTAGAAGCGACTATCTTCTCCTCCCCCCTCCTATATAAAATCCGCCTGTACCTAGTGGTAATCTTTCAAAAGAAGTGGGAACTGTCAAAGAACCCGATGGTGGACTGGTCAGATGGCTCCCTTCCCTCCACGTCATCCAGTGCGAAGGTGGCAGTATTTGTCACCAACATAGTGAAATCGTCGTGGAACTGTCTGTATGACCCACGGATGATTGGAAGTCCTACTGTTTTCCGAAGAAAATAGTCGAAGAACTTGAGTCGCAACGGCGCGACTGGGTGTCCAGTGGAACCACGAACGCTCGAGCGGCCGGACTCGTGGTAGATCCAGTCGGTAAAGAGCGTGACGCCCGAGGCCCGGAACTCGATGTTTGAAAAGTCGTCGTATTGTAGCTCGATGTGGTCGCCTTCCTCTGGGATGGAAAGGTTGGCCGAGGCGAAATCGGGTTGGTTGGTCGAGGTAGGCTTGATCAGGGCGACGTCCTCGGCCCTGAACACGCCGAAAAAGACGGCCAGGGCCTTGGAAAGCCGGTCCTGGCCAACCCCTTGGGGGGCTCCAACCGGCCCTGGCTCTGCGCTTGGAAGCAACAGTTCAGCGAAGTGCTGGTATAGCCAGATCATCTTTGCGGCTTCCCATACGACCAGGTGGGCGTCTGAATGCGCGCCGTTGCTCCCAATCAGATCTATCCGGCACGACCCTGGGCTCTGGCGGTTCCGACAGCAAAGGGCCCGGCCGCAGGTCCGCTGGAATCGATCCGCCGTTGCCCGTCTTGAGTCGGAGTCGGACAAGATGTTGCCGACAAGCCAGTCGCAGAGGGGGCCGAAGACGACTTCCTCATCCTGGGGGGTCGCCTGCATGCTGCAGACGGTGAACCGGTCGAGGAAGTCGGCCTCCGTGTCGGACAGGCCCATCCCGGCTTGCTCTTGGGCACCAAAGCGACCGGGCAGACCGTTGACTGCCGGGTCGTCGCTTGCTCGGGCGACGACCAGGGGCTCGTTGTACGGGCCCGCCAGCGCCGCGCCGCAGATGAGCACCCTGTAGAGTGCCTTCCGAACGCTGTCGTCCCATTCGGGCATTCGGGTTGGTGATTCTGGCCCGCTGTCTTCCTGGCCGCGAGGCCACGTGCGACGGTCGGCCCTATCCTCGGGATGTTCGAGGTCCAGGTCGCCGGTGTAGGTAACCAGGGCGTCGACAAGGTGGCGAAAGGCCCTGGCCGCTTTCACTTCCGAGATGGTTGGGACTCTACGGTGGCCACTGAAGTCTCCTGGCGATAGAGCGATCGACTGAATCGTCCGCCGGGCCTCGGCCTCGCGGGCCTGCTCTCCTAGGCGTGCCTGGCAGCCAAGGAGGGTCAGCATCATCCAGACCCTCGGGCCTCGGTCCGCACGACAAGGTGCACTGTTTGGTCGCTTACCGAGATCAAGGCATCGTCGAAATCAGGCATCTCCTTGAGAAATATCCGCCAGAGGACGCCTCCGGATTTGGCCTTCCAGGTGTTATATAGCCGCTGGCAAGCACTGGCCAGCGCAAAGACGTCTCCAGCTGAGCTGCATTGTTCTAGAATGTTCAAAACAAGCTCGGCTGGAAGGTGCTGCAATAGACAGCTGGGTTGCATTTTGTTTCTGGACCAGCTTCTTGCGGCGTCTGAGGGTCTGAGGCAGGTAAGTGAAGATAAGGACAAAAACAGAGAGGGCTGGTGGGTAGCAGGAGAGTGGATGGGGTTGCGTTGCCCTACACATGTCACCGTCACCTGGGCGCGGGGCCTGCCTGGGGGCAAAAAGATGGCATGGTTTTTTAAAGTCATCTCATATTCTTGGGACGTCAAGAAAAAAGATATAGGAAAGTGATGGAAAGTTGTGGGCACCTCCCCGGAGCTGGCAAGGAAAACCCTCGGTCCCGACAGGTGTGGCTGCGTATACAGCCCTCGGAGGCCTCGGACGACGAGAGAGCTGCTACTCTTGATAACGGCAGGAAAAAAGTTCTTTGTCCGAGTCGGAACCAAGCCAAAACCGAGACCTGACGGGAATGGGACTCGGGACCAGATCCCAACCATGTGTCAGTCTTGCTCCTCATCCCCAGGAGGGCGTAGCAAGGAGCCGTAATGCTCACCGTATCCTTGTTCAGATCGCTGCCGCTCCAGCCCTGCGGGAGAAGAGGTGTAAGTACAGCACGGAGCAAACAGGATAGTTCTGTGCAGGTGGCTAAGACGTATAAAACGGCAAGCAATGTACATTTTAGAAAGTGAGCTAAATAGTCGTTTGTAACGGGGTCAAATGGGGAATGACAAAATTGGGGTACAGCAAAGTCAAGACGGTGTTCTCAGTACAAGTACAGTCTCAGTTTATGACGGAATAGCCTGGCTCACGTCGAGCTGAAGGATGAGTGGCAATGGAATAGCCGTTGAGGTTTTCCCGGAGGAACAGACTTTGGATAACCCATGCGCGCATGGTGGTAGCCGCAAAGCTCGCGATGCCACCATGCACCACCCACAAGAAATCCCGCCTCAACTCGGCGTCGAGAACGAACGGGAGCCCTTGGAAACACAGTTTGTTCGACGGGTTGCAACAAAGGTTTGTTGATTGTCGCCTTCGGTTGAGTGCTGGTAATGGTGTGAATTATAGTAGAGGGAGGCCGGCGGCATGCAGTTCCATTATGGCTGGGGTTGCGCCGAAAGTTGGTCAGGGGAGCCCCTGGGACAAAGGGCGACAAACCCCAACCCAGGGTGGTTTTCCGTCTCGGTGTCGTCGGTTCCTGTCGGAGGTGCAAACTGTCGGATTGAGGGAAAGCCGGCAAAGGAAGCCAACGAACCCAGGACTAAATACTAGCGTTGTAGGTATGTCATGTGACCCACCTCACACACTAATTATTGTCTTTCCTATTGCCTAAGTCACTGTGATCTCATCAAGGTGGTTGAGCGGGACCTTCTGAACGATGGCGGACTCCTTGTTAGCATCTTTTATAATCCCCTCTCTATCACCCAGAAAATTGACCGACGACTCGACGTACTGGGCTGGCTTGAAAGCGCGCAAATGTTTCCGCCTTTATGCTGCCTGCAAGGATCATGAGGATCCGCCCGACAGTGATGGGCGCCAATGGAGGCCGTGGTGTTGGCGCGGTTGATGGCCAGGTCCTGGGTCTCCCAGTTCAACCCGAGCAGTTCTCGGCGGCTGGGTTGGCCGTGGGGGCAAAGGGCTCGAGGTATCCAGCGACGCGGCGGAGGGCGGGAACATGCTGCTGCTTGAGCTCAACTCCGCTGCGGGTTTGGCACTGGACACAGAGTATGCCTGGGGTCCATCCGCAGAATGGTAATAGTGCGGTTTTTTTTGATAGCTTGTTGAATTTATATTTTGTTCAAGTTCAGGACAGCGTTAGAGGGAGGTGCGGCCAAGTACCGAAACACTAATGTGATTCGATTCCAAGTCTATACTGCTTGACGACAAGATGTGTGATCCGAGGGTCGCACCATAGCTCTCTCGCTACAGACGCCACTCTATAGAGTCAAATTGTAAATCCTCCGGATAATGTCAAGAGGGCTCCCGCTCAAAAGCGACAAGGGCAGGGTCGTTGCTAGTCTCGTGGCCTTTCCAATGATGCCAGTGGACGGAAGGAAGGAAGGAATGCCGTGCTCCTTCTACGTAGTACTATCGGCAGATAAGATCATGTAAGGGGTGGTATTTCTGTGCGGCAGATGTGATGGAACCGTTGAAGACGGCTCCACCCATCAAGGGCTCCAGAAAGCGCATGCAAGGCCTCAATATATAGTCCCATGGCGCGCCCTTGACTCAACAGCCGAGTCATCACCAGGCTTCACCAAGCAGTCATCGACCCCCACATACCACCACATCAGTCACCCAAACCCCGCACCGTCAAGCATCAAACAATGCAGCCCTGCAAGGTCCCCCCTCGGTCTCCTGGGTGCCGCCGCTGTCGCCAGCCTCGTGGCCCTCGATATGTCATCGCCCATCGGTACCGGTGGGTCCCAAGCCTTCCCCACTCGGGCGCCACAAGGTGCAAGGCGAACTGCAGCGCCTTCGGCTCGGCCCCGAGCTTCTGTGCCATGGCCTGCGACGGCGCCAACGGCTGCTCGATGACGCAGACCAAATGCTAGGGGCGGTTGCCACGAGGGTAGCTGGGACGGCTTGCTAGGACGGGAGGTACATGTTTGAATACCCGTGTGACCATTCAACATGGGAACGGGGGGTGGAAGTGGTCAGATGTGAAGGGAGCGGCGCCCGAGATTCGTGCCGGGAGGAGGTGGATGCGGATGTCTACTTTTGGCCGCAGCCAAACTATCATTAAATAGCAGAGAACAGTTTGTCCAACACGGCTTGCTTGCTGTGCCGCATAGTCAGAGATGTGATTCCGTAAGCTCTATAAACGCCAGGCAAAAAGCTCTGCCTGACGCGATATGATACATTCAAGGCCTATCCTTACGAATTCTCGGGTTGTATGCATTTATAGGAAGAGGGCAAGACAGCCAAACAGCACCGAGAACAGCGAAACCGCCACCGTGGCCGCGGCAGACGAGTTTCCCGAGCCCTGTCCCTCCCCACCGCCGCCCCTGTCCCCACCACCTCCCCCACCACCCCTCGTGTCGTTGCCGCCAGCACCGCACGCCGGCGCCGAGCCGACCGCGCCCTTTGGCGGACCGCCAAGATCGCCCTGCTCGGGCTGGCGCACCTCGCGCTGGCCCGGCGTCGTGAAGGGCGCCGTGGAGCTCAGGTCGGGCACGCGGCCGAGCAGGACCTCGAGGTGCCTAAAGGCCGCGGCCGGCTGGAACTGCGGCACCATGTGACCGGCCATCTCGATGCCGACGTACGTCAGCCCCCTCTCCTTGTGCGTGACGCCCAGCACGCCCGAGGCCGAGTACGACTCGACGCCGACCTCGCGGTGGTAGGGCACGAAGAAGGGGTTGGCGGGCCGGTTCTGGAACCCGAGCTTGCCGCCCCACGTCATGTTCTGGATCGCGAGCAGGGTGCCGTTGGCGATCAGGATCATGTCGAGGGCGCCGTGGCCGATGATGACGTTTTGCGTCCGGTCGATGACGCCCGGCAGCACCGTCAGGGCCGAGGGCTCCGAGTTGTCGGTGCCGTTGACGAAGACGCGCCGCTCCGAGCAGGGCCTCCAGCGAGAGTTGGCGGGGGCGTGGAGCGCCCGCTTCACGTCTGCGCGGTCAAAGTAGAAGGTCGTCCCGGCTGGTACATAGGGAAAGGATGTAGGGACTAGACCCAACGGTCAGCAAGGGCTTGGCTGTTGGTCAGGGGCTCAGGGGTAGATGTGGGTCATGGGAACAGCAGGAGGGGGACATGGCATAACTCACAGCCAATTATATCCCACAGGATCGGGCAGGTCGCAGAGACTTGGTAAATGTTGAAGCAGGCGTTGATGTCGCTGGCGGCCGAAAACACGGTGTTGAACATGGACTCGCACTGCTCATCGCCCTCTCCAGGGAGCTTAACAGGCAGAGGGCCTGCTGGCGGGTAGCTGAGGCCCTTGTTCATATACTCGGTGAAGCCACAGTGGATATCCCGGCCGCGCAATTCGTTCGAGAACGTATCATTGAACGGGAAGACACCCGGCCAGGCTTTCACAAGCCCCATTACGGTGATGTCCTGCTGGAGGCCTTCCCTGGCGATTGAGGGGTCGTAGATCATCAGGCCGGACATGTTGTAGTACGTCTTGTCGTTGGCGTTGAGCATGGCGTCGGCAATGTATGGGCAGTACATGCCGCTGATTTCTCGCCCGTCGCGTTAGTTAGGGGCTTGTTGAGATATGAATGTGGCCGTTGGAAGGATTGGGAAAGCAGGCTTACGCATAAGACTCGCCCGTGATATACACCTTGTAACCCTGCATCGAAAAGGTGTTGATAAAGTTGCGCCAGAACCCAAGAAACTGCGAAGCAACATCCTTTTCGTTGGTGACGCTCGGTATGCCAGTGCTGTAGCCGGTGCCTACGGGCTGCTCGATCCAAACGACGTTGGTCAAGTTCGTCCACGACCACGGGTTAGACACGGGCCTGAATGTGCCCTTCTGCCAGAAGATGGGCCCATTCTCCTGCATCAGTCCCATCAGAGATGAGCAGCCGGGCTGTGGAGACGACGGGCACTGTTAGCATGGCACCTGACCTGGGGATCATCGATGGGAACCTACGCCTCCGTTCAGCCAGATCACAATCTCCTTCTCGGGCGTCGGGTTCGTGGACGGGAAAAACCAGAAGAAGAGGCCATTGGGATCCGCAGGGTTTTGCGATATTGGCAGGAGCCCCGCGTACGACTCGCCAGCATCAAAGGTGACATCTGGGATGCCGGTGCCATTGACGGCAAATCCTACGAAGTCATCAATTGTCAGCACAGGCATGGTAGAGACGCGGCTCAGGGGAGATACGTACTAGTCGTGTTGGCATTTAGGAAGCGTGGGTTCGGCCTCGACTGTCTTGCGTCATGCCTGTGGCCGTTGATCGCTTGGAACTTGATGTCACTATCGTAGAGGCTTGGCTCTTGGACAATCCTCGGGGTGGCGCCATATGGTACGAAGTTCTTGTACGCAGCCACCGCGCCTAGGAGCAGGGCTGACGAGGAGAGGTATGCTTGGAGGTGCATGGTCGTGGTATTAATGTAAGGCAACGATGATGGATGGCGCCAGATTGAATCTTGTCACCCGAGAGCGAGCACCCAGGTCTGCCGCTTGAGAGGTAAAGAGACAGAGGAGAGGAGGGTTGAAAGGAACGGGGACAAGAGCTCTTCCAGGGACCGCCAAGCCAGCTCGCCACCAATCCATCGCTCCCTCCCTCAACACTATTCGCGGCAGGCAGGTTCGTGTCATGCTATATACAAGCCTATTGATCACCTACACACAGGCACGGCGCAGGAAGGCGTACAGGCGCACGAGGAAGGACCGCATCATCCGCGTCGGCCCGGGGAGGAAGGAGGAAAGGTGAAGAGGAGCCCAGAACGGGACTAGCCTGGCCTGGATGGGACGCGAGGTTTGCATGAAGCGACAGTGCGGATTGCGCGTTTGTCGTCGTCGCCAGCCGGCCACAAGACAGATGTTCAGGGCCGATGGGTAACCCACCGGCGATTGCACGGCTTTGTGTACCAGTGCGCCAGGGTGCTGCAGGGTTATAGCGCCGATGGGGAGTAGATATTGGACGAATCGGCCGACATGGGCCAGAAGCTGCAAAATGGGCTGCATGATGGGATCGCCTCGGGATGCAGAGCACGTAAACCCCTGGCGCCTCATCCGATCAGTAGTCGAGGATGCCCGTTTCGGGACGGTGGCCCCCGTTCGTTGATCAGAGCAATTTGGGGTGGTTGAGGCTAGCAGAGGCTCTTGCAGCTGGCTAGGTTCCGGCATTGGGCGGAAGAGATGGATGGGGGAGAGTTGGATACAGCCTTTGGCAAGGCGTTCACGGCATTTTTGATTTTTGTCAACCCTCAGCACGTGTGTGGGCGAAATGTTGCAGGTGCACGTTGACGGCCGACGCTGCACTTGAGGCTACCTGCGGGTGTGCATGACTGCATTGGACACATCTGATGTAGTAGTACGTGGCCATCAGGACTTGCCGCCCTGATGTAGACGAAAGGGCTGATGGAGTCCAAGATTCGAGTAAGGAAGGAACAGGCACCTGGGACCCCTAACCTGGGACTTCATGTAGGTGTTATATATGCCAGAGATCTCGAAGCATAGACGAAAACACAAATCACGGCCCGGCTACTTTTTGCCCTTCCCGCCACTCTGGCCGGCGGTAGCCGCGGCGGCGGCAGCCTCCTCGTCGGCGACGAGCATGCGCAAGTCCTTGCCCATCATATACTCTCGCGCGCTGTCGAGGATGCGGTCGATGGAGGGCCCGCCCTGGACGGCGTCGGGCAGGTTGTGAGCATCGACGCCGCTGCGGTGGTCCGTGACGCGGTCCTGGCTGTAGTTGTAGGTGCGGATCTTGTCGCCGCGCGTGATGCGGTCCTTGGAGAGCACGCTGCTGCGCATGCTGGCCGCCTGCTCCTCACGCTGCTCGCGCCGCTGGGCCGCCACGCGCGACCGCAGGATCTTCCACGCCTCCTCGCGGTTGCGCTGCTGCGACCGCGAGTCCTGCATGCTCACCACGGTGCCCGACGGTAGGTGCGTCAGCCGGATGGCCGACTCGGTCTTGTTGACGTGCTGCCCGCCCGCGCCGCGCGCCCGCATCGTCTCGGTGCGGACCTCGGTCGGGTCGACGTAGAGGTCGCTGTTGGGGTCGTCCAGGTCGGCCGACGACGAGTCGTCGCCCGCCTCGCCCGCCTCGGGGAACGACGGCAGCACCCAGACGGCGACGGCGCTCGTGTGGGTGCGCCCCTGCTTCTCCGTCGCCGGCACGCGCTGCACGCGGTGCATGCCCGACTCGCCGCGGAACACGTCGTAGGCCCCGCCGTGCTGCACCTCCAGGATGGCCTCCTGCAGCGGCATCTCGCCGTCGGAGCCCTTCATGTCGCCCGCGCCCTCGGCGAGCTCGTACGACACCACGCGGCTGCGGTAGCCCCGGCGCACGCACACGTTCTGGTACATGCGGAACAGCTGGTCCGCGAAGAAGCGGCCCTCCATCCCGCCCGGGCCGGGCCGCAGCTCGATCAGGCACGGCATGTCGGCGAAGGGGTGCCTCGGGGTCAGGGCGGCCGACAGGCGGCCGCCCAGGGCGTCGAGTTCGGCGCGCGTCGTCTCGAGCTCGTCGCGCGCCAGGTCGCGCATCTCGGGGTCCTCGGCCGGCGACGCCACCAGCGCCTCGAGCTCGCCGATGCTGGCGCGCGCCTTCTCCCAGGCCCCGAGCGCGGCCGCCACGCTCGCGATCTCGCCCGCGCGCTTGGCCTTGGTCGCCTCGAAGCCCGACTCTAGCGCGGCCTTTAGCTGCACATGCTCAGCCGCGAGCGTCCGGGCGCGGAGGAGGAGGATTTGGGGGAGGCCTCCATTTCCTTCGGTTGCTAGGGGTTTCGTGCCGCCGCTTCGTTAGCCGTCGCCGTGGCAGTCGAGGGGGGAGGAGGGCCTGGTTTCGGGTTGAGTCCTACCCGTGCTAGCTTTACGGATTAGCTGGAGAAATGTAGGCCGCGGCGACGATCTGAGACATCGTCGGCAAACCCATTGCGCCAACAACATGATCCCGCATTCACGTTTGGCCTCCTGCTTAGGCTCTACTGGCCTTTTTGCATTTGACTTTTTTTCTCCCTGCTCTGACCTCATCAGGTCCAATCCGTCGTCATTCACCAATCAGGTGGGGTGCTCGTCGACAGCCCCACATGCACATATTGTGAGCGTGTGCCGACTGTTGCCGACCACCCTTTTTGGAAGCACCTGCGAGCTTCGGAGGAGAAGTGTTCTTCTTAACCATTAAGCTGGTGATTTTCTTGGCCGGTGCAGTTTCCTTTTTTGCTGGTGCTATTATAACCTTCTTGGCAGAGGCTGTCGTCTTTTTCGCTGGAGCGTTGCTTTTGACTGGTTCTGTGTTCTTCTTTGCCGGTGCCGTGCTCTTTTTCGCTGCGGGTCCCTCGTTTTTCTTGACCGGAGCCCTGTTCTTCTTTGACGCTGGAACCGCGCTCTTTTCTTTCCCCAGCAGCCTTCTTCCTAGCGGCCGGGGAGCACCTTTCTTAGCCCCAACCTTGTTTATCTTCTTTGCGGTCCTTTTCCCCGCTGTGGGCGTCGCTGCGGTTCGGAATTTCCCCTTTGTTTGTTTCTTTGGAGAAGAGCACCTGTCTTCTTGACAGTGACCTTCTTGCCCTTGACACCCAGAGAGGCCTTCCTCTGGCGATGGCCTCTTTACCCTTCGTCACAGCTGCTTTTCCCTTTTGCACGGGACTCTTCCCTCCTTTGGGGCCTGACGAGGACACTTTCTTTCCCGTGTTTTTTCTTGCCATGGGCAGCAGATGTTTTGGTCTTGGCCCTCCCCTTTTTCGCCGAGGCTTTCTTCCCTTTGCCAGCCGGGATGTCTTCTTGGCTGTATCCTTCTTGTCCTTAGCTACTGTGGGACGCGTCTTGTGGGTGTTTCCCTTATTGCTCTCCGGCGGGAAGGTGGTCTTCGCTTTGTTGCCATCCTTCCCCTTGGCAGCAGCAGTGCTTGTCTTTTTGGCGGTGCCCTTTGTACCCTTTGCCTGAGAGGTGGCCTTCGACTTGCTGCCCTTCGTTCCCTTGGGAGTAGCTGTGTTTGTCTTCTTCGCGGTGTCCTTGCCTTTCCCCGCGGGGGTCGCTGTATGTTTTCCACTGCTCTTCTTTGCCTTCTGCGTCGCCGGGCCGGAAGCCTTGTTAGAGCCTCCAGTCTTGCCTTGCTTCCCTTTAGCAACAGGGTCGGTGCTCTTCCCCTCACCCCCCGTCGCAGCCGTTGTCTTCTTGGCGTCGCCCTTCCCCCGCTGTGGTAGAGTGCAAAAGCCCCACTGGGGGATCTCGCTGGCAGAGCCGAGATGGCCCTGCAGTGCTCTTAGTGCGATCAGCAAGGCTGATTGTCTTCTTTGGCCTGGGCAGATCCCAAGCGATAGCCTCTCCGTTCGGGCCTCTCAGAGGCGCGCCTTGGTATTTTTCATTGAGCCCTTCCAGCGGGGCAGACGTGCTCTCCCTCCCCGTTCTCCGCGTGCTTCCGCCTTGCGGTGCCGGTAATGCGCTGGGGTTTCCGGGGGCGGGGCCGTTGTTGGGCTGCCGGGCGGCAGCGGCAGCCTCCTGCTGATCTGTGGCCTTCTGCTTCTTCATCTGCTCCCAGTGATTCTCGTTCGGTCTAATTGCTAACCAAGGTTGCCCCCTATGAAGGTATCTACACATCTACTCGAAGATGCATGTCTGCAAAGGTTCTAGTGTTATGTTGAGTATAGTCAGGAATAACCCCCATAGCATGCATGTTAAATGGCCCTGAGTGATATCCCCGATGGGTACGGTTGCTTTAGGCTAGAGCTGTAGTGTAGCTGCCCAGCTGGATATCCTATCCCATGGCTCTTCTGCTGGCTCAATGTCTTGCCAAGAGTAATCCCAGCACCCTCTTCTGGGCTCTGCCCCGTTCAGCCGCCCCCAAATGCAATACTTGGTGTGTGCATTGGTTACACAGCCACCACCTACAGCTAGCCCCACCACCCCTATGTAGGTAGCCTGAAGATTACATACATGGCCGGCGATACCCATCTAAGACTCTGAACTTTCTAGACAGTCACCGTGACAGGGGATACAAATTCATTTTCGTCAAAAGTTTCGACGGCCCGCGGGAGGGGAGAAGAACAACAAAACAAAAAAAGCGAACAAAAATGGAGGGAGATACAAATCGGGCGGAGCCGGAAGGTAGCATTCTACCCGTCTTCGTCGTAGCCGACGTTCCTAGCTCTGTTCTCGACCAGCTGCTCCAAGACGACGCCATATTCCAAAAACGCGAGTCCTTGCGCCTGCACATCCTGGGCGCCGAGTCTGCCGCCGAGCTCGAGCGCGTCGACCAATACACCGAGAACGGCAAAGAGCGCTCACGGCCGCCTATGGTTGCTGGCCACGCTGCCGGCTCGCCCTTTCTCGGCTGGGACCTAACCCGGATTAACGAGTGGTTTGTCACAAACATCCGGGCCAAGGGCGCGTACATCTGGACGGGCAGCATGTTCCTCGTTGTCGACAAGTACAGCGAGGCGACGGGCACTGTCGGCGTCGTTGAGGCCGACGCCGACCTGGTACCGCCCAAGGGCCCCGGCGCGGAGGTGGAGATGCGTCGCCGGAGGGAGCAGGCGCGCCTGAAGAACCCAGAATACGAAGGGGACGAGGACAACGAGCCCGAGAATATCCGGTGCACCTTTGCTGTGGCCCGCCAGATCGCCACCATCGTAGAGCTGGGGGTACAGCCACTGTATGAAAATCGCGATCCTAACGTCGTCTGGTCGGAATCCGAGATTCCGCTTCAACTTTGAGAGGCTGGCAGGTAGGGGATGGGTGTCGTAGTCGCGGCTTTTTCTTGTCAAATTCCATATATGGGACCTACTGCGAATGAGCGGACGGCAGCCAGCCCTAGAAACGGTGGCGAACCTCTTGTTGCTAGGTCCAGAGGGGCATAGGGAGCCAGACAGGGTGATGCACTACATAGACCAAATGTCTAAACTGACATGGTACTGCCAATTGAATCGTCAGGGGCTTCCTATGGTTGCATTCCTATTTCGTCCCCTGCGCATGCCCTAGCAAGCCGCAAGGGCATGACTGGAGTTTCTGTTGCTGACTTCCTTTCCTGTGATCTTTCAATCATTGCTTCAGGCTCATGGCCTAGGATAAATACCGGGTTTCCTCCGTATATTTCATCACAGATGCCTCCGCGTGAAAGGGGCTTGGCCCCAGCACGGGAGTGCGGACAGCCCTCGACAGCGCAGTAGTATTTGATTCCTCTTATATGGGTGGTGTCGATGATCCGGGTGTGTCTGGATTCTGAACCATACCTCACAGCATTCATATTAGCACGCGAGTGTTCTGTTGCCAACCCAAATAAGGGGCTATGCGCGAGAAAGGGCTTGTGGATTGTGGGTAAAGAGCACGTAGTCCTTGCATGACTGAAGTCTGGGGGGCAAAAATATATGGTGACATGCAGCCACTGCCGACGCAATTAGAAGTTGACGGTGCCAATACGACTGATGAAACTTTTGCCGCCAATTCCGGAATTTGGGTTCTAGTACGAACGGAAGGCTCTTGAAAGCCATTGCTTTCTGACCAGGGGTTTGGAGATAGTAGCTGCGTGGGCACTGATATACAATTGTGTCTACCCATTTTCTCTCGCCCGCCTCTTCCAGAGCCCGAAAGTTGGCCTGCGTCGGCGCTTTCTCTCCTCTGGCGCGAGCCTCCTATGCCTCCTTCCAGGCGCCAGCTTCTTTGGCCGTCCGGTCAGAGGCGCTAGTACCGGCCTTGGGCTCGGCTACTGGCGCAGCCTTGAAGGCCTTTTCTGTGGCCTGCTGCTGGGCGGCATTTTGGACGGTTGGGATGGGCGAGGCGGATGTGGAGAATATGTGGTGAGGATAACCGCTCTGCTGGGCCTGCCGAGCGTACGCCCGCGTATGATATGGCGATGCGTGCTGCCGCGATACTGAGGGTGAGGGCTTGCTGGTCGTGTGGTATTGTGTTGGAGGGTAGCCGCCGCGTCGGAGGTTGCTTACGCCAAAAGTCAGACCCGGGTGATTGGCCGATATGTTGGCGCCAGGACGAGCCCTGGGCTCGGCCGCCGGCGCAGCCTCGGAGGCTTTTTCTATGGCCTTCTCCTCTACATTTGCCTGGGGCATGTATCCGGTGCACTCCTTGCGCGAGCGGACGCACTGGGTACATGCGGGCCGCTGTTCGTCACATTTGATCTTCCTCTGTCTGGCCAAGCGAGAGCTGTTAGCAAACTGGGCACGCCATCAGGTGAAGCCACCGGGCTAAATAAAAAACAGGAGAATTAAGGAAGCAAAAAAGAGAAAGAAAATCAAGGTTGGGCTGCAAGCTCTATGCCATAATGATTTTGAAAATCTTGTTTGCCTGAAGATGTGTGTGTGTGTGTGTGTGTGTGCTTTTGGTTGCGCGAGCCATTTCAGGCAAACATTATTGGACAGCAACCTTGATGATTGATGTTTAATCGGTAAGGGACGTCATTTCAAGAAAACTTACCTGCAGTTTCTGCAGCCCGTTTTGGTCTTGGGCTTGGTTGTTCGCATCCTTTTCACCGGCGTCTGAGGCGCTTCAGTGGCACCAGCCTCGGTTTGGTCCTCACGCTCGGGGTCGGCAAACGTAGAAACCTCGGCTTCTCGTTTCGAGGCCGCTTCAGCGGGTGATTTAGCCCGTGCTATACGAACCTAGCTGGTAACCTTGCGGTTTTCGAACACCTCCTCCATAACCTCCAAATCTGCATCTCGACGGGCACTTCTGGCATGTTCTCTGCCCTCGAACAGCTCGCTAGAAGCATCGGTCGCGGAGCCAACTGGCGGCGAGGGGATGGGAAGGCCCTGTCCACGAGGAGATAGATCAAGGTCGCTGGCCACCTCCTGGTTTGGGCCAGAAGGCGACTTCTGCCTCCCTCGGTACTGCGGGCCATCGATGACATAGGCAGGGTTAATAGCGGCCATTGATGGAGGACGCAGCGGCGACGCGTAATCATAGGCAAAGCTAATAGCGCCCATTGATGGAGGAGGCTGTGGCGACGCGTCTACGGGCTTCACTGTATACCTATTTTGGTTTGCGTCACTTCCGTCGGCGTGTAGGTTCGAGTTCTCGCTAACAACGCTCTCTGTATCTTCGGCCGCCCCTTTTTTGAGTTTGGCCTTGAGGTCAGCCGCGAGATCGCCGTTATCGTCTTCATCCTCGCTCTCGTCGTCGAGGATCTGGGTGAAGTCCTCAAACTCCCGGATCCGACGTAGGAAGCGGGGCTTGCGCGTTTCCTGCCACAGAATCATTGGTTGCTGAAGAGTCCCACTTGCAGTGCTGGTATCAACTGGTGTCGTGGTTGCTCTAGAGTTGCCTATCGAATCTTTCGTTAAGGAGCGGCTAAACCATTCTTTGAGTCCCGCATTGTAGTCACGCACTGGCGCCTGTGCCTCCGCCATTTTTTTTGGTGCTGCTCGGGCTGTGGGCTGCGTAGCCGTAGATGCCGCCGCTGGTGCCGCTGGTGCCGCTGGTGCTGGCGGTGGCGCTGATTTTGGTGGTATTTGTGACAGTGGTACGGCTGTTGACGCTGCTGGCGGTGGTGGTGGCGATGACGGTGCTGCCGCCGCCGCTGTTGTTGTTGCTTTTCTACCTGCAGCGATAGACGCGTCTTCCAACCCCTGCAAAGTCTCCGACGTAGTGTCCTCCTCCCCAGAATGTTTTCGGGCGGGCTTTAGGAGCTGTTGCTGCTTGGACAGCTCCTGGTCCGGCTTGGGTGATTCGCGGAAGGTCGACTGCAAATTTCCCCCCTCACCATGCGCTTGGCTAGCAATCCGTATGTCTTCCTCGAGTGTCATGCACTGAGTGGCGTAGGCCTGGCCCTGTTGAGACCTCGACTATTAGTTCTGACAAACAAGAGCCCAAGTGCGTGGGCCATCACTAATGTAACAAGGGGATGGGACGGACTAGAGATTGAAGATTTTCCTTCTGCCTCGCGCCCTTTGTTATTGCGAGCGTTTGGCCAAGGATGTCCATGGCGCTGAGATACGCTTTCTGAGCGTTCTTAAAATCTTTTGCATCCCTAAGCCCAGCGGCAATGCCTGCCTCCTTGGTGGCGATGCTCAGCAGCGCGAGCCGGCGCATCCTTACTGATGAGGATTCACCATCTTCCTCCTCATTCAACTCAGCCCGCTTTTCGAAGTCACGGAGCCACTCGCCTGCCGTTTGCGGCCGGGCAGATGAAGGTGCGCTACTTTCTGCGTGCTTCAATTTAGCTGCCGATTCGACTGCTTCGTCTTCTAGATCCTCTCCATCTGCGCTCGAGGAAGGTCGTGATTGGTCAGAGTTGTCGTCGAAATCCAGCTGCGAAGGGATGGCAGCAAGCGAGACTTCCTCTAGATGCGCTCCTAGATGTTTTGTGATGGCGAGCCGGCCGGACCCAGTCGGTTCGAGACAGAGCTGGCAGCTGAAGGACGCCCATTCGGGATCCAGCTTGTGGTCGAGAGCTAGGTGGGAGGCCCAATCCTGGCGAGTTTCAAATGGAGATTGCGAGGAGGGGCATGCCATGTCGAGACATAACCAAGGTCGCAGATCCTCGAACAGATGCTTCTTCCACATGCTGTTGCTTGTGATAGAGACGACTTTTCCGCACGCAGTACACGAAAATGGTACACCGGCCTTTGCTTCAGCTGTTAGAGGCGGAATCTTCACTGACTGGCTGCCCCTTCCGCCGTATGACATGACCGTTTCGGCGTAGGATGTGGTTGATGGAAGAGAACTGCCAAGGCCGGAATCGTTGAACTTGGAGCTTGCTGTCTCGGACTGGGCTGGAGCAGCCACATACGTGGCAGCGCTTTCGCATGTTTCTCTTGCATGCTGACATCTGAGGTACCGCAAGTAATTGGCCTTTCCCAGCCACTCGACGAGAGAGACGTCCGCCTGAGGAAACCTGGCGCCAATTTTGTGACTGTACACGCTGTCTGGATGCCAATCAAGAAGTCGATCCGCAGGTGCTGCCTGCTCGATATCAATCTCCAAGATAGGATCCTTCAGCAGATGATCCAGATCCGCGAGACATGTAGTGTCTATTTTCAGATCCTCGATCACATCGCCGATGGTGTCCGAGCTAAGGTCAGCAGAGGAGCTATCGGAGAAGTCATCGCTCTGAACAGACTGGACGACATCTTGAAGCTCCCTGAGGAGATGGATGCCTTTGGAGAGAGCGGGGGCCGAGGTACCATGCCCTGTGAGGGCAAGCGGGATGAGCCCTGGATGGCAGATGTGTTAGAATCACAATGAAATCTTTCCTTGAGTATGACGAAGGGGTTTACGGAAAAGGAAATGGCGTCGTTACGCTCGATCAGTGTGCTACTGATACTTGTCAACAGCTTTAGAATCGTATACCGGAGGCCCTTCGACCTGTCAAAAACCTCGTCGAACTTTCCCGCTGCGATCCCGTGGCCGTCGGACCAAAGCCTGAGGCGGCCGTAGCTTCTCTCGAGGCTGGTATAAGCCTCGCCTCCGTTTAGAGCCTCCCTCTCCTTGGAGATGGCTCTCAAGGTCTCTCGGAAAACAGCGATGCATTCGGCGCAAAGCCTACCAACGAGGCCGCTGCGGTGGTCAACGACATCCCCGTGGCATAATTGGGCGAGGTACTGCTGGACGATTGATGGCGATGGCTGGGATGCCTGTACGGCATGTAATATATCCATAGCTTCGGCCTCGATCGTGAGGCAATCTTGGAGCGATTCCAAGCGCTAGCAATCGCGAGCAAGTTTGGGGGGGAGAAGGCAGAGTCTCGACTGCAAATTGCCCCAGGTAATCCCGAATACATCGGGCAGCTGACACTTGGCGCAGTCCGCCCACCCAAATGCGCAGTCTGCTCAGCCCCAGAGATCGATTGGACGTGATGAAGCCGGAACCTCAGCAGCCTTGGTGCTCCTAGTGGCTGTGCATGACCCCGCGGTCTCGCTCCCCGATATGTGGCTGGCTTGGATTCCTCTGGCCGGTCAGGCTGGCTGATTGCCTGTCACCCCAATATTGTACCGGTTAAGCATCTCGTTCAAGCGACATATCCTGCGAACTCCCAAAATTCATATCTCCGTAAACAACATCTAGCAATGGATCCTCTCTCAATCACCACAGGTGTCCTAGCACTGCTTGGCACATGTATCAAGGTTTACATCACGGTGGGCGAAAAGCTCAAGACATTCCGCCATTACTCTCCAGAAGTGAGGAGGACTGAGACGAAGTACTTCTACCATGTCCAGAGCTTCCGCCACGAGATCCACCTTCTCCTCCTCCGGAACGCCTGCCCTGATGACGAGACGGCAATTGAAGAGATGCTGAGCGATGCCGGACATCCGGAATGGCAGAACAGACTGCTGCAAGAAAAGATTGCGCTTGCACTTGGAAAGGCGAAAGAGGGGTTGCTTAAGGATGTTATTGAAGACATCAGAACCTCTCTGTCGGAGCTCCAGGACCACCTGAGATGCTTTGACTCTTTGAAGGCAGACCAGCATCAGGTACGTAGAGCTTTCCTGCCTTTCTAATAGTTGGAGAGAACACCCTCCGGCGACCAGATGGAAGCCAACAAGAGACTTGCAATGCAGGGAGAAAAGATTAAAGACACTATCAGGAGACTGCGAGATCGGGCCAAAGTCGCTTGGAATAAAAGCGAGGTTGAACAAAAAATCGAAGACCTCCGCGACTCGATCAAAACCCTTCGATGCCTCCGAGAGCAAGCGGCTGAGATTTCTGTGCATACGCGGCCCTGCGGACATCTCACGGGGATCCCTCACGACAACATCGTCGGAAAACGGGACAGCATTGCTGGACCACACGCAGGCCTCAGCCTGGAGCAAAGGACAGAATATGGGCAATATGGCCCCGTCAGGCGTGCATCAAAGGCGTTCCACAAGGCGCTGGCGCTTACCTGGTCCAAAGCCCCCGAGTCCACGCAAATGGCCCGTCCCACGCGACATTCCGTCAAGCTCTTCTTGGACGCGCGTGCCGATGGCGACGTCCAGATGGACGTGGCCGTCATATGTTACGGCCACAACCATCTCGTCAACCCAGTCATGCAAGCCAGCCTCGCAAGGCTGCGGATCAAATCCAGGATGATGTTTGATCGGCTGGACTCTAACAGCGACACCCTGGCTGATGCAAAAGACGAGTCTGCAGTGGTGCATCCACAAAAGCGCCGCAGGGTTCGCTTTGCCGACGCACCCACATTACCGTCGCCAACTCCCTCGCAGCTGCAAGCAGATGCCCCAGAGCAGGACGTCAGATCCAACAGTCCATTGCGGATTCATGACATTTGCTCTGTCCTGGGTCACTGTTCCCTCCCCAAATCTCCCTGTTCGGCAGACTGTCTGGGATACATCGACACAAGCGATCAAGAAAACTTCAGACACACCTTTTACAACGCACTGGGGAACAAGACGGCGCACGACCTCTTTTGGTCAACTTCGGGTCCGGATGCCCTCGTTTCCATGAGGACAGTCCTCTCCAGCCCAGCCGAGACCTCGCTCTCCCTCCCAGACCAGCTCAGATTAGCGCGCAACCTCGTCACGGCCGTGCTGAAGTTCCACTCCACCCCATGGCTCGGAGAGTTGTTTTCCCTCAACGACGTCTCGTTCTTCAAGATAGGCCAGAGCATGTCGAGCTACCTGCAGACTCTCCATGTCGGCTTCGAGTTCAGCAATGCGCCGCAGCACGCGCCGTCACTGCTCGGTCCTGGCACCTGCGGTGACATGGAAGGTGTTGTGCAAACCGCACCCACGCCCGACTCCACGGCCATAGAGGATGACATGCTCAAGTATGGCATCCGCAACCTGACGCTGTGGAGTCTTGGGGTGATCTTGTTGCAGATAGGAATGTGGCGCGAACTCGTCGACACGAATGATGTACTATGCGTCCGGAAGCTATCCACCCAAGGATCTTGCGTGCTGGGACCCAGATACAAGGAGCTCACCAAGAAATGTTTGAACTGTGATTTTGGGTTTGGCGACGACCTATCGAAGCCGCGCTTGCAGCAGGCCGTGTTTAAGGGAGTGGTTTGCGAGTTGAGCGAGATGATTAGGAGTTTGGACATTAACGACGACTGAACACCCAAGCTAGATGGATGCTGCAGCACAGCTTTTAATACCAGTGAGGTTGCCAGTGAGGTGTTTCCCGACCTGTCTTGCTCCAAGCCGCAGTGACGTCCAAAGTGGGTGACGGGAAGAATTGAAGCCACTTCGACCCACCCCCGCCCCGGAGCTCAGCACCCCGCAGCTGCGAAAGAACCCCGCCAAAAATCAATTGACTCAAACGCGCAACACGTCACCCGAGCACCAGCCGACGACTGCCCTCCTGACTGCCTGACTCCCTCGGCGCAAATTTCCTAAGGCCACGGCCGGCCCGAAAACTCCCAAGAAGAGGCCACAACGCCAAAATACGACCCGGAAAACCACTACATACCATCGCGGCTACAATGGCAGCAGCAAACATCGTGGTTCCGACGACCGAGGAGGGCCAGACGGCGCCCGCGGCGCCCGCCAAGGGCGTCGAGCAGCAGCAGAGCGTGGACCCCTGGAACGTCAGCGGCGGCATCGACGCCGAGGGAAATGTGCAGGCCATCAACTACAACAAGCTTGTCGAGGAGTTCGGCACCAAGCTGATCGACGCCGAGCTGCTCGAGCGCTTCGAGCGCGTCACCGGCCACAAACCGCACCGGTTTATGCGCCGCGGCATCGTCTTCTCCCACCGCGAACTCGACGTACGAGTTCCTCCCTTCTCCGATACTATGCGGGCTCGCAAACAAAACTCGGGGTGGAAGGGAGGACAGGCTGACTGGGTTGCGCTCGGGGCTCTAGGTCATCCTCGACAGGCACGAGCGAAACGAGCCCTTCTTCCTCTACACTGGCCGCGGCCCCAGCAGGTACTAAGCATTTCGAGCCTTTACTGGGATCTGGATATCCCGCCGGATAAATTGCTAGAGCCGGGCTGACCGTAGTTCTTTCACAGCGACTCGATGCACATTGGACACACGGTCCCTTTCGAGTTCACAAGATGGCTGCAAGAGGTCTTCCAGGTGCCCTTGGTGATCATGATGACCGACGTAAGCATAAAGACTGCCGTTCTGGGATGTGAGGATTGCAAGACGCTAACCAATCGCAGGACGAGGTATGTGGTTACTGAAGCCGTACGAGGGCTGTCGCTTGCTCACACCTAGGTAGAAATATCTCTTCAGCGAGAAGAGGACAATCGAGGAGGTCCAATCCTACACAAAGACGAATGTCAGGGACATCATCGCCGTCGGCTTTAACCCGGAAAAGACATTCATTTTCTCGGACTACGAGTGAGTGCAACCACGGCCGCCACCTCCCTCGACACCACCAGGGTAAGCTGACGTTTCAACAGCTTCATCGGCGGTGCTTTCTACAAGAACATCACAAGGTTGTCGAAGCACATCACATATAACCAGGCCAAAGCCATCTTCGGCTTCAATGATAGCACAAATATCGGCAAGATCCACTTCGGCAGCATCCAAGGTAAGTCTGCCGCACAATTCCCCTCACAATATGTGCAGTCGATACTGACCAGCTACCACGCTCAGGCGCAACGAGCTTCGCATCGTCTTTCCCTCACATTTTTGGGGATGACGAGAAGATCTCAAGCAAAATCCCCTGCTTGATTCCTTGTAAGATTGCACAAATAGTATGAGTGCTCGATCGGCGAGGCGTGGTTGCTGATGCTGTCGCAGGCGCCATCGATCAAGATCCCTACTTCAGGATGACGCGCGATGTGGCGTCGAGGCTAAGTATGTCGACGATCAAACGTGAGACTTTGCACATGAGGGGCACTGGCTAACGACTCCAAAGAATTCGCCAAGCCGTCTCTTATCCACGCGCGCTTCCTTGACGCTTTACAGGGCCCCGGGTCCAAGATGAGCGCAAGCATCGACACGTCGGCCATCTTCATGAAGGACACGCCGAAGCAGATCTTGAACAAGGTCAACAAATACGCATTCTCAGGCGGCCAGGTCACCGTTGAGGAGCACAGGGAAAAGGGCGGTGACACTACCAAGGACGTGCCGTACCAGTACCTTACCTTCTTCCTTGAGGATGACGAAGAGGTCAGTTATACGTACATGTGAAACGGCGCCTATTATATTCATGTCGATTTATGGCTGACTCTGGACATTAATATCTAGCTCGAGAAAATTAGGGTTGAGTACAGCACGGGCAAGATGCTGACGGGCGAGATCAAGCAGAGGTGCGCGGAGGAGCTCCAGAAGTATGTGCTAGGCTTCCAGGAGCGGCGCGCCAAGGTGACGGACGAGGTTGTGGCCGAATTCATGAAGACCAGGCCACTGAGTCTCAAATGGAACACGGCGGGCCTCGGTACAGAGACCAAGGATGGTGCCGAGGGTGAGGCCGCCGGTGATGGGAAGATGACCAAGAACCAGCTGAAGAAGCTCGAGAAGGCGCGGCAACAGGCGGAAAAGAAGGAGAAGAAGCAGGCCGAGAAAACGGCTGCTGCAGGCGCACCAGCAGCCAAGGAAGAGGCCAGCTAGAACTTGGTGGATTGCGCGTCCTTTCTGCCGAATAGACGTCTATTTCGGGTCCTTGACAAGGGACGGTTGGTCCTCTCAGGGGTAACCCAAGACCAAACCTCTTTGCGGGTTAGGGTTGGATGGGCGATCCAAGGTTGGGGTTCGTAGAGCCCGTCTTTGGCATCCATGACGGGATTGATGGAAACACCATAGACGCATCCGCCCATCTGCTTTCAACGAGCGTTGACAACCCTACGTAATGTTTGGAGGGCCGACTAGCCGGTCTAAACCCAGCTCTTCGAAACGCTTGGGGATTTGAACGCTGGCAATCCGGCGCCGCCATCATTTTCTGGGTCGCTCGGATGTGGCCCTGGCGAGCTTGAGCGAGTCACGTCAGCCTTGGTCCCATCTCAAGGCTCTTCGTTGAGGCTCTGGGCGGCTGCTTCCCCCGTCGGGTTCGGGGCTTAGGCCAACATCACTCCCAGCCTTTTCTTCTGCGTGGCATCCCATCCCATCCCAACTTTGACCAGGGATGGTGTTCAAGGTGCCTGATCCACCAAACTGGGACAATTTCCCGCCCGCCGGGTAATTGCTCTGCCTTGCTTTGCGCCACCCTTTTTTCCCCCCCAACTCCCGACATTAGAGGTTCTCGCGCCGAACCACAGCCGATGCACTATCTTCACTGCCGAAGATCCCTATCATGAACGAGTCACTATGGCAACGTACCTGTGTACCTATTCACCTATCCATCTGGTATTCACCTACAGGTATCCAGCACCATTTAATGTCTTGGCCACCTATTGCAATTCCCGACGTGGTGCCTCTGGCTTGGGTGCCACTCCTGAACCCAAAGCATACAAAGTCCCTGACTCTGCAGCTTCCTCCACTTGAGCCTCGAAGTGCCGCCCGCGACTCCACCCGCAGCAAGCTTCCCCTCCGCCGCTGGCGCCAGCAGTTGGAGATGGGCGATTGATTTTACCCGACGGGAGATTCGTCTGACCTCGCAGGATGAGGCGGCAAATCACTGAAATTCCCCGCGGAAGCTCGGCCAGGCTGACCTGGTAACGCCATCTGCACCTGATATGCAGCTTGGACAATCGGGCTGTTGTTCTGTCATACGGGCCAATATTATAGGTACACGCCTACCACCGACCTAGCCAGCACCCGCCAGATCCTGCTCGACTGGCCATCCCGGGCGGAGCTTGGCTGTTGCCGCTGCAACCGGACGAGGTTACCATCGGGGCAAGGGAGAAACGGAGAAGAAGAAAAAACAGCAGTGGATGGACAGTAAGCCAGCCACTACCAGGTCGGTTTCTACAAGTCCCGCCTATGATCCCCGGTTTCTGGGCGGGCCCTGCGTGGGAATCCGCCCCCCCTCCTACCGAAGTAGCCCCTCGCCCACACGCACATGCGCACACCCCCGCGTACGCATGTCCCGCCGGCCCGCGCGCGCTCTCGGATGGCGGATGTCACGATTTGTCAATCCCGAAATATCCGCCTGTCATTGGGAAACATTGAGGGCGGGAGAAAAATAAATAAAAACAAAAGCACGGGAGAAAAAAAGGGGGACATCTACCGCCGCGCGGGGCTGGAAGAGTCATGCCCACGCTGATGGAGACAGACAGGAGAGGGGTCCCCTTCTGACAGCCAGGCGGCCGTGCCGAAGGGGAGGGCAATAACTCCGGTCTAGATATACTACGGGCGCGGGTTCTGCCTTTTTTTTTCTTTTCTCTCCGAGCTCGGTTTGCTTTGTATTTATAATGGTGTGACACATTGCCCCCTTACCCCCTTGCCCCTCGACCCGTCAACTGATTTTCCATCCCTCCTTTTTGGAAGCTCTGTCGTCCCCGTCCTTGTCAGGCCCGTCCGCCTGCAGTCTCTTTGCGCCCCTTCCATCTCGCATCCAGCAAATCCCCTTATAGGCATCACCAACACAGGGGCACGAAATAATTATCGAGGCCTACATACCACACCCACCTACCCCTACCAACAAACACCAGCGCAAGGCGAAAGCCATGGGCTCGATAGCGCAACAGACCCCCCAGGGGGAGGCGGCCGGGCCGCTGGCAGGCAAGGTGTTCGCCATCACGGGCGGCGCGAGCGGGATCGGGCTGGCGACGGCGCAGATCCTGTCGCGGCGCGGGGCGACGATGTGCATCGCCGACGTGGACGCGGACGCGCTGGCGGCCGCCGACAAGCAATTCTCTAGCTCCGGCGCCGGCGCGAGGTACGCCTCGGCGCGGGTCGACATCTCGCGGCGCGCCGAGGTGGACGGCTGGGTCGAGGGGATATTCGCGCGCTTCGGCCGGCTGGACGGCGCGGCCAACGTGGCGGGCGTTATCGGGCGCGTGCACGGCAAGACGGCCGTGGCGGACATGGACGACGCCGAGTGGGACCGCATCCTGGCCGTCAACGTCACGGGCACCATGTACTGCATGCGCGCGCAGCTGCGGAGGATGGCGGACCGCGGGTCCATTGTCAACGTGGCGTCCATTCACGGGCTGAAGGGTAGGGGATGATGCCCCTTCATAAACCTCCTCCCCACCCAGGTCTGCAGAACTCGGGAGACATGAGAGAACTAACCTCCTAAAAAAAAAAAAAAAAACAGGCTTCGCCTACCACGCCGCCTACGACGCCAGCAAGCACGCCGTCATCGGGCTGACAAAGGCGGCGGCGCTCGAGGTGGGCGACCGCGAGATCCGCATCAACGCCGTCGCGCCCGGCGCCATCTACACGCCCCTGATGCAGAAGAACTGGGACCTGACGGGCAGGCCAGCCGACGCGCCCTTTGACGACCCGACCGCCTTCAAGCGCCAGGGCTCGGCCGAGGAGGTCGGCAACGTCATGGCCTTCCTGCTCGGGCCCGAGAGCACGTTTGTCAGCGGGAGCGTGTACTCGGTCGACGGCGCGTGGCTATGATTTTTTTTTTTTTTGATTTGGTGCCCTTTTATTCTTCTGCTCCTATACTCTCCAGTTGTAATCGCCTCTCCTTACGGCCCATGGGCTCCTCGTCCCGACTACAGACATTCATCAGACCACCCGAGCCCCTCTTTGGATGCCAAGGGAGAGAGTCTATCCGGGAGTCGCGTCGATGTTGATGACCACAGCGAGCATGTGCATCGAGTTCAAGATATCCTTGCTGCGTTTGGGAGTTTATGATGAAATNTTCTGTGATTG